GCACCCCCCATGCATCTCAACCCACAGCGTGATTGCGAGTGCGGGAACCTCAGGGAAAATGCATGGGCAAAATGACGATGTGGTTTCCCTGTAGTCACGTTTTTTAAAAAGGTAGGGTGGGTGCATGCATGGGTGCGTCCCCTACCACAGAAATGCCACCCCGTTACAGTAGTTCTTCTATAGGGTGGTCAGGAAGAGGTTGATCTACTGATTACTCCTTATTTACAACACAGGCTAGATGGTTTGTGGGGTAAACATACAGTGTAATATAATACTAGTATATAATAGTATATAATACTGCACTCTGAAAAATGGAAACATTTTCAGTCCAGGACCAAACATAAGATACCTTTCACCATGCCTGGAACCACTTCAAAACCTTGGACTGGCATTGTCTACACTTCAGAGACGTAGCAGAAGGCTCCGCATAAACACATTGTTGCCATAAAGGACAGTTTTTGAATTTCTGTATCCATTTAAAAAAAAATGTAACATGCAAAACTCTGTTTTTACAATGTATCACATGGATATGTAGTGGACAAATGCAGTGTGTATGCCTGAACCAGATTGCATGATACAAATGTACCATGATACATGCGATCCGGTTGCAGAGTGTTTCCAAATGTAGCGAATGCACTACTTTTGGTGCGATGCAGTGTGATTTGAGCCCGTTCAAAATTAATGGGCTCAAATCGCACTGCACTGAATTGCATGAATATTGAACAGGAACGCACAGCACGTTCCTGTGCAATTCATAGTGTGACCCAGGCTAAATTAAATTACATGAAATATTATTTATTGTCACATCTTGCAACGTAATGTGCATCGCACATTGGCTGGAATTTACTGTAGCTGGTGGGAAAAACATGTGGAACATCTGTGCATCAGCTTCTAACTTCAGGTTGTTCAGTAAGGCTACTTTCACACTGCTTTGTTGAAAAATGCAGTAAAAAAGCATCTGCATTTTTTCCATGTTTTTGCCACATTTCCGGTGCATTTTTCACTTGACATGTGATTCAATAAAATGCACCAATAGTACAGCTCTGGGTGCGTTTTTGATGCATTTTTTCTGCATTTTTTTGGCACATTTTCCATTCATTTCAATGGCGAGGTGTGGTTTTGATGCATTTTTGCCACAGGTGTGTGGTTGATGCGTTGTTGTGTTTATGATGTGTTTTCCATTCCTTTCAATGGGGTGGTGCTTTTTTTTGTGCATTTTTTAGTGCACCAAACATGCACCAAAATTGCAGCAAGAAGGAATGTAGCGCACCAGCAACTGACTAGTGTGAAGAGTTTCATAGAATTTAATGTAAAAAATATGTATAAAACTCTTTGCGCTGCTACTAGGAAAGATAGGAATATTGGGACAGCAGCACACACCTGGCTATACCTTTAGCAAAAAACAACAAACAGAAAACTGATGTTGCACTAATCACAATAATGCCACAGACATTCCAAAACAAATAATGAGATGAGAAAACAATAGATAATACACCATAACATAATCAGTAAAGGAATAAGGGAGTGAAGGGAAAGGTGAAATAATAAAGGTCCAAAATGAGGACCAAAAGGTGTAACAGACAATACATCATGACCAGGGGTGGACTGACCATTCGAGCACTTGGGCACTGCCTGAGGGCCCAGGGTCACTAGGGGGCCCCATGAGATGCCCCTGGTACCTTTCATAGGCTTTTTTGGGTGTGGTTTGAGTGTGGGCGAGGACAAAGGGGCCCCATGATCCCCTACTGCCCCGGGGGCCCCATGAGTTGTCAGTCCGCCCCTGATCGTGACCGTGGGCAAAAAACACAGAAATGATCAGGGAGTAATACAATATTAACTAAATCACAGTAATAGTGGGACGTATGAGTCAGTTATAACATAAATTAAATAATGTGAATACAACTGATGAGAAAGTGGCGCGAAATATGAAAAATACAAAATTAAGTGCTTTAATATTAAAAGTGGACAAACCACTTATCACAGAAGAATGACAATAACAATGCACAGTGAGGCCAAAAATTGTGACCATGCGACAAAAGAGTCATAACACAATGTGCATCATGGGGCCATGTGACATAAAACGACTAATAAGTGACAATATAAATACCATAAATAAATGTGGCAAACAAATATAGAGTTCAACTAGTATAAAACAGAAAATGGTGATATAAACGCAGAGTGAAACCAAATGAATGTATTACTGTGCAACATAAAATAGAATAACACAATGAAGAAATAAATAACAATGTGACTAAAAAAAATAGCATAAATGCGACATAAAGTCCATGTGCAAATGACTCTTTAGTTGCATGGTCACAATTTTTGGCCTCACTGTGCATTGTTATTGTCATTCTTCTGGGATAAGTGGTTTGTCCACTTTTTAATATTAAACACTTCATTTTGTATTTTTCACATTTTGCCCCACTTTCTCATCAGTTGTATTCACATTATTTCATTTATGTTATGATGGACTCATATGTCCCACTATTACTGTGATTTATTTAATATTTTATTTCTCCCTGATCATTTTCCATGCGTTTTGCCCACGGTTACAATTTATTTGTTACACCTTTTGGTCCTCATTTTGGACCTTTATTATTTCACTTTTCCCTTCACTCCCATATTCCTTCCATTTACTGATTACGTTATGGTGTATTATCTATTGTCTTCTCATCTCATTATTTGTTTTGGAATGTCTGTGGCATTATTGTGATTAGTGCAACATTAATTTTCTGTTCATAGAATTTCATTTAATGGTCATGCATTTTTATTCTACTTTTTTTAACGCAAAAATGGAAGGAAAACGAATCAGTGTGAAAGCAGCCTTAAAGCGGAGCTTCACCCAAAAGGGGAAGTTCCGCTTTAATGCTTTGTCCCCCGCTCCCCATTAAGGATTGGCACCTTTGAGGAGCGGGTACCCGAATTTGACAGGTCCTTCAGTGCTAGCAGCTTACTTACACGTTTTTTCTTTGAGCGTTCACTGATTTTCTATACATAGGTAAGTATAACATGTCTGTTATTTTATCTAAAAAAATTGGAAGCTCTAATATCACTTTATGAAAGCTCTACTTGTCCTCCACAGGGCGGCACGGCTGCACAAAATCATATATATATACGTTATTTGCATTTCCGAGTAGGGGGCATGCGTGCGTGCTGCCCTACCTGCACTGCTATTGGCTGCTGGGGATGGTAATCACCGGGTCCCGGGTAACCCTTTGGCCATTTTTTGTACTGTTGATATGCTGGTGAGAGGATGCATTGGACACCCTGGCTGCCATTGTGCTATATGCTGGGTGTCCAGTGTGTCCCTGTACCTTTAAGGAGAGGTGGGCTCCCTCAGGCTCACCTGCCCTCAGTCTATGCATTTAGGCTTGATTCACATCTATGCGGGTGGTGTCGCTGCAGATCCGCACAAAAATCTGTGCAGTAGGACCACTCGCATAGAGGAATGCGGACCCATGTGCGGGTGCCGTTCATTCTAATGGCACGCCGTCCGCACTGGAAATCACAATCGTTCTGGGAACCTCGGTTCCCATGCGGGCTGTGTTTTCACAAGAAGTTCAGGGACTTCTTCCTTGCGTGTCCTGGGGCACGGAAGTCCATTCAAATGAATGGGCTCTCGTGTCCACGCAAAACGTGGACCTCAGGAATGCGGATATGTGAACCAGGGGTAACATGCGCTTCTACTATGGAGGCTTGCTAGGAACTGCAAAATATTGGGGTGCCATGAAGAGGCTCTGCAGCTTATGCATGTGTTTGCAAATAAGTGCTAACTAAACCCCTGTTTTTAACACAAACTGTTAGACAGGATAATTTGGTTTGTTTTCAGGCTGGTCAGTAAGTTGAACTGGGAATTTTTCTTTTTTATTGTTTGACATGGTACAAAAGTACCATGCTATCTGGTTCCAGTGCGATTCCAAGAATAGAGCATGCATTACTTTTGGTGACATCCGATTTCAGCCTATTCAATATGAATGGGCCAAAATTGCACTGTAAAGAACTGCATGTGAATCGCACAGGAACACACAACGTGTTACTGTGCAATTCACATGCATTTCATAGTGTGAATGGGCCCTTCTTCTCCAGTTAAGCAATGTATGCTGACACTGTTGAATGTGGTCCGTGCATCTAGATTTCAATGTCCGTTGGTCAGGAACGGGTTAAGCCCAGATGTATGAACTACCCCTTTGTTTTGGGATAAACAGTTTTTTTGCAATATTGATGGAGCCCAGACAAGTCACATGAGAATGATCTTGTCCTGACACCAACATGTCTAATTAGTTCCAGGGTAATTCTTTGTTCCTTCTTCTCCTCCCCCTGCCTGTCATTCAGGTGATGTCTCCTTTTATCTCTCTTCTATAGTCCCAGTTTCATGATCCCTTCCCTATCTGTTCTCCCTGCTTGCTGGGTTCCTGTAGAAGACACACCTTCACTGTCATTGTATCCTTCCCGAACTTGTCTGTCCCATCCTGTTATTTCCTAGCCGCAAGACCCCCCCCCCCCCCCCCCCCCGTCCCTTCCAACACTCTACTGTAGGCTTTACAATATATATGTATTTGTCCTCTACTTCCCACTATGACAGTTTCATGTCTGTATTTGTAATCCTGTTTCCATGTAGACTATTATGTCATACCTCCCCATACCCCCTTCCCTTCCCAAAACAAAATTTTTGTTCATATAAGTTCTCGCCCCTGGTGGCCTCCCCTCCCCCGCTTTTCATTGACGGCACTTTGACTTGTCTGTGGCTTCTGAGTGAATTTCAGATTCTGCCATTATTCCCTGTAGACTGAGTCTGACAAAGAACAGGCTTTATCTCTATGATGTGGGTTACACGTGTAGTTCTCAATGCTATGGCTGTTTGAAGTAGCTCCAGTCTGATAAAATAGTAGCCAGGATACACAGAGCTCCATTGTATATTGAGATAGTGGCTTTTTAGACGTGAAATGTCTGGTTCTACAATCATGGACTCCCATCAATCTGCATACACATCAGATTTGAAGATAGTGGATCAGGGGCGGACTGACAACTCATGCGGCCCCTGGGCAATAGGGGATCATGGGGCCCCTGTGTCCTTGCCCAAACTCAAAAAAGCCTATGAAAAAAGGTACCAGGGACATCTCATGGGGCCCCCCTACTGACCCGGGCCCTTGGGCTGTGCCCGAGTTTCCAAATGGTCAGTCCGCCCCTGTAGTGGATCTGTCCACAGAATAAAATCATTTGAAAATCTCTGTAGTTTTTGTACTCTATGCATCAACCCCCCTCCAAACAACAATTGAAGAAAAATTCTCCTATTAATTTTTAATTGTATGTCTTTTTATACAGACAACTTACTAAAAAAACAGCCAGTTTATTACCCTTCATACTTTAGGGGGGCCAGACTGTGCCCAGTGGGAGTGAACAATGTGCCATCTTTCGTATTGGTGGAGGAACAGTTCTCCATCATTGGTGTCAGTTGGATGAATAGTGCCTGCTCATTGGTGTCAGTAGGAAGAAAAGTGCCTGATTGTTGGTGCCAGTGGAAGGAATTGTGTCCCAATCTTGGTGTCATTGGGAATAATGGTGTCCTATGGTTGATGTCAGTGGCAGGAATTATACCCCATCATTGATGTCAGTGTCAGGTAAAATGCCTCAAGGGCCAGATAAAGGCAAGCAAAAAGGGCCACATCTGGCCCCGGGCTGCAGTTTGGAGACCACTGATCTAAGGGCTCATAAAGCCTCTGTAGCATTGCCAGTACATTGCTCCTGCTCTCCGTCTTTCATTCAGTAGGACACATTTACTCACAGATTAGTAAGCCTCCTATATCAGCACAACTAAGTACAAGGGATCACAAGGCCTTAATATGTGACGTCAACCTTTTCAGACCCTCTCCCCAGGCCATGAAGAGTGGAGCTTTCAATCAAGTCTGCTGGGCAGATCAGATGCTTGACCGTTCTGGTCTGCTCTGTAAGGCCATGGGGAGGGCCTGAGAAGCTTGAAGAGATATCACTCATGTGACATGTTAGCCCTGAGCTAGTCCCGGCTATGCTACAGTAAAATGGCTGCAAACATCTGACATGTAATATTTAAAAAATCCCTCTATAGTGTGTATTTCTCTAAATCCAGAGCACTAAGTTTTATTTCTCTCTACTGCCCATTCCTCTGCTATCTGCATGAATCATTTCTGACAAGTTTTTCTGATACCAAGAGAAAAATGGTGACAACGGAGGGACCTCCAGCAGATTGACAGCCTCAGCTCTGTTCCTGTGTGTTGTGTGAAAGGGGGTGTGTCTCTTTCCCTCCAATCAGATCTCAGACTTCTACTCACTGAGCTCTGCAGAGTGTAACTTCAGATCTCCCCTGCCCAGCCATCCAAAGCAGTGTGCCCGAGCTGACAGAGAGGAGAACTGTTAGTAAACAAAACAGTTCTCCTCCCCGCCGAGATGCTCGGTAATCAGTGGGCGTTGGCGAGTAATCATCAGCCGAGAACTGGTCATTGATAACCGCGAACCGCCGAATGCAAAATCACGTATATATATGTGATTTTGCGCACCCGTGCCGCCCTGTAGCAGTATTTCTACTATAGGGCGGTCGGGAAGTGGTTAATAGGAGTAGTTAAGAAATATTTGGAACGCAATGTGGAGATCAATATGTGATTTTACATTTTGACCATAAATATGTTTTAAAATAATTTGCTGGTTGTGTGCCGTATGTAGTAGGTGTGGGAAGCCTGCCTGAATTTAGAACCAAAGCAGAACTATGCTCACCTTCACCTGCATTGTCCAGGAGCTCCCTGCCAGCCTCTGACATCTTAGACCAGTCTGATTATGGGTACCAAACTTGGCCAGGCCATGCTGATGATCATTCCCGTGTATGTGCATTGCCGGAAGTGTACAGTGAACTCAGTGTACAGGGCGTACAGGCAGGCAAGGAACTTGGGAAGTAAACCCACTTTTGTATCTATTACTTATAATAAAGCTTCCCTGTAGGTACAATGAATAACTCCTTAACATGCACCATTTAGAAGATATTCACTCTTTTTTTTACAGCCGGAGCATGCGCTCTGAAGGAACCGCATACCCTTGCCACTCCTTCAGTCCTCATGCACACGGGATCTTTTTACAGCTGCTGTTTTTGGCTTTGACGTTTTTTTCTACAGCTAGTAACCTCCCCAGCATGCTATCCTGTGTGTCCATGCACACATAGACTGTAATCAACATTTTTGGCTGGGACGTTTTTTGGCTGGAAGAAAAACCCAGGACTAGCTGGTTTCTAGATTAGTTTTTTAGCTGTAAACATGCTCTAACGCTGGAAAACGTGGTAAAACGCTGCAAACCTGCGTTTTTGGACATTTTTTTGACCCCCCCAAAAATTGGGGGGTCAAAAAACCAGCTAAAAATGCAAACATGGAAAAACGCAGGAAAACGCTGCTAAAAGTGGCAAAACACCGCTGAATGCTAATGCAAAAACACAAAAAAAACGCTGAAAAACGCAAGTTTTTAATGTGACTTTACACAGCTAACGTTACCAGCGTTATCAAAAATGTCCAGTGTGCATAAGGACTAAGTCCTCATGAACACTGGACGTTTTTACACCTGCTGTTTTTGGCTTTTGACGCTTTTTTCTAAAGCTAGTAACCTCCCCAGCATGTTATCCTATGTGTCCATGCACACATAGACTGTAATCAATATTTTTTGGCTGGAAAAACAACCTAAAAAATCAATTGCTCTCTATAATGTCTGTTCGTGCCATCAGGTGTGAACAGGCACCATACAGAACAAATTATTTTTTAGGTTTGAGTGTTTTTGGAGCTTCAAGCGACAAATCGCTCAAGTGTGAATGCAGCCTTAGAGCACTGTGCTGCGGCACAAGACTCCTCTGCACATGAGCGTGGGTGACGTCATCATGGCTCGACCAGTCAGATGGCCGGAGCTCCCGAACCCGGAAGGAAGACCAGGTGAAAATAAAAGCCCTGTCAGAGGTGACAGCGCGCCGCTGGAGGGCTTCGTTTTAAGGTAAGTCCTTCATAATGTGCTAGTATGCGATGGATACTAGCACATTATGACATTACCTTGCAGGGGATTTTGTTTTTTTTCATCTGCGGTTTACTACCGCTTTAAATGCAAAATGCTTTCCTTAGTCCTTATGCACACTGGACATTTTGATAATGCTGGTAACATTAGCTGTGTAAAGTCAAATGTGAGTTTTCAGCTTTTTTTAGCATTTTTGCATTAGCATTTTTTTGACAAAAATAAATTTTTTGGTCAAAAAAAGTCCAAAAAAACACTGGTTTGCGGTGTTTTACTACTATTTTGCCGTGTTTTTCAGCATTAGGGCATTTTTACAGCTAAAAACTCCTCTAGAAACCCACTAGTCCTGGGATTTTTTCCAGCCAAAAAAAGTCCCAGCAAAAAAACGTTGATTACAGTCTATGCGTGCATGGACACATAGGATACCCCCCGGGCATGGACACATAGGACAACATGCTGGGGGGTTTACTGACTGTAGAAAAAAAATGGAAATGGAAAAAAAACCCAAGAACTAGTGGGTTTCTAGAGGAGTTTTTTAGCTGGTAAAAAACGCTCTAACACTGAAAAATGCGGCAAAATGTGGTAAAACAGAGTTTTTGTATGCTTTTTTGAGTTAAAAAATGCTAAAAAAACAGAAAAGTGAAAAAAATGCAGCAATACGCCGCTAAACACTAGTGGAAAAACTCTAAAAAAAGCTGAAAATTTCATATTTTTAACCGCTTGCCGACCCGCCGCAGTGTTTTTACTGCGGCAGGGCGGCACTTGTGCGCACAGTGCCGTCTTTTAACGTCGGTGTGCAAAACAGGTAGGGGGCGCGCGCAAGGCGCATGCCTGCCCTACCCATCCCGCCGATCGTGGCAGCGGGTGTCTGTCACCGGCTCCCTGCGGGTCATTTCCTGCCGGGTGCCGGCGATTACAAGTAATCACTGACAGATAGCACGGCTGCAGTGTTTACATTGCAGCTCTGCTATCTGTCAGTTCAGAGCACGCTGGACCTGAGAGAAGACTTTATCTCTCGGGATCAGCGTGTTTTTTTATAGCAAAACGTCCACAATATTGTTTTTTTTCAAAATTGTCAGCCTTTTTGTTTATAGCGAAAAAAATAAAAAACGCACAGGTGATCAAATACCACCAAAAAGAAAGCTCAATTTGTGGGAAAAAAGGATGTAAATTTAATTTATGTACCATATTGCATGACGCGCAATTGTCTGTTAAACTAGCGCAGCGCTGTATAGCAAAAAAAATGGCGTAAATTGCAGTATTTATACCATAATTTGTAGACGCTATAACTTTCACACAAAAACATGTAGCAGAATACATTTTGGCCTAAATTTATAACTAACTGAGTTTACTATATATTTTTTATAGCTGAAAGTAAAAAATATTGTTTTTCTTCAAAATTTTTTTTGTTTATAGCGTGAAAAATAAAAAGCGCACAGGTGATCAAATACCACCGAAAGAAAGCTCTATTTGTGTGAAAAAAAGACGTAAATTTCGTTTGGGTGCAGCATTGCATGACCGCGCAATTATCAGTTGAATTAGTGCAGCGCCGAGTAGCAAAAAGAGGCCTGGTCATTAAGGGGGGTAAATCTCAGGAGGGCAAGTGGATAACGTGACTTTACACAGCTAACGTTACCAGCGTTATTAATACGTCCAGTGTTCACGGAGCCTTAAAAATGACTTTTGATATAACACGATAACATTATATGAGGCATTAGGGATTGCATTTACATCTAAGTATTTGTATTATGTGACATTTGTTTCACCTTACAAACCTTGTACTAATAAGTATTCCAGCTTCTCATTCCTTGTGGTATCACACCAGGGGTAGCAGTGGCCCCTGAGTGCTGTGCTCTGATCCTGATTCAAGAACACTTGTTTCTTGCTGCCTAATTACCTACATGAACATAATCATTATGTATTAGCTAGAGGAGGTTTTCATAACAAAAGATTTGTTATACTGCCTGGGACTAGCATGTGTACAGTACATAATATTAATGGGATTCTCAAGGTCACAAAAAGTGCTGCCATTGCTGACTTATCCACATATCTTGCATCTCTCAAAAGCCACTCACTGAACTGGAATAAGTGTCCAATCTGTAAAGTCACAACCAGGGGCGGACTGACCATTTGGAAACTCGGGCAGTGCCGAGGGCCCGGGGTCAGTAGGGGGCCCATGA